AGAGCAGGCAATTGTTTTCTTAGCACCGCATGCGCGGGCCGCAACTTATGGAACGATTTACAGAACTGCACCTTACCGGCTGTTCCTGACAATCGCTCTTTCTCCAGCCTCGCGAGCCAGGAACCCGGGACTGTTCCGGATGTCCAGGATTCGGTTGAGACCGAACTCGGGATCAATTAAGAGCCCCTCCCAAGACTTCACACGGGACATCGCCACGTACATCAGACCCACTGCAAAGTCCCTGAGCCCCACACTGACCACGGCGCGATCCAGAGTGAGGCCCTGGGACTTGTGCACCGTGACGGCCCAGGCTAGACACAGCGGCACCTGCTCTCGGCTGCAGGCGACCTGCTCGTGGTCCCACGTGTGTACCAGCGTGGGCACGGGCACCAAGCCGTCGGCCACGGTGGGGCCGGTGTAGTTGTCGAACTTGACCATCACCACGGCGGGCAGGTCCTCGGGCTGGGCCCGGCCCGGCTGGTAGACGATGTCTACCACTGTGCCGGTGGCGCCGTTCACGAGACCCGTCTCGAGCCACATGTTGCTGCGCAGCATGACCCTGGCGCCCTTGGCCAGGTACACGACGGGCTCCAGGCCGGCCGCGTCGTCAGCGGACCCGCGCTTGGCCGTCGCGTTGTTGTGCTTGGCGGGCAGACGCGCCACGGGGCTGTCCAGCTCCTGCAGCTTCTTGATGTTGTGCGCGGCCACCTCGTCTCGCGTGGTGTACAGGCGCGTCGCGTCCTTGAACTCCTCCCGCTCGGCGACGGGGACGTTCAGTTTGAAGCGCTCTCCAAACCTGGCATAGTCGGCCGGCGTCGTCGTGCCAACACTCAGCCGGTCGAGTGCATCACGGAATGTGACGTCGGCCTGTCGCTGGGACACGGTTAGGATAAAGGACTTATTGAAAGTCCTGTAGACCATCTTGCCGTGCGCGGCCACGTCGGCCACCCGCCTAGCGGAGTACAGCGGAGAGTCTCCCACTGGGGGCAGTTGGCGGACGTCCCCGATCAGAAAGATATTGAGGCCAGCGAACACCTCGTCGCAGTGGGGTTTTGCCTCACGCAAGCGTTTCTCCATCAGGCCAAGGAGCCTGCAACCGATCATCGAACTCTCGTCTACAAATACGAATGAGACATCCTCCCATTCTTCCTGGAACTTGCGCAGCCTGTCGCCCTCGAGGGGCTTGTAGGCCTCCCGAGGCCTCAGCCTGCAAGCAGAGTGAATGGTGGAGCACTTCATTCCGAGCACATTAGCAGCGGTCCCAGTGGGCGCCATCAGCTTGGCGGCCTTGGGGCCCAACTGCGTTCGCACCATTTGTACCATCTTTCTGATGACAGTGCTCTTACCGCACCCCGCCTTACCTTGGATCTGAACACGCTTTGGCACTGCATCGTGCCCGCGGGGAGGTGCCCCATTGCGGAGCGCGTTGATCTGCTCCTGGACCAAGTTGATAAGGCCCTGCTGCTCTGGGGTGTAGACGACGTCGTCCACCACAATGTCGTCATCTGCAGCGACGTGCAGCGCTTTCTGGGTGGAGATGAAGTGGCGCAGAGTGGTGATGTCGCCATAGGCACCGGCCGACTCCTGCCAGTCGTAGGCCAGGTCCATCTCACGCCGGCCCAGCTCCACTCTCTCGGCCTGACCGTTTGGACCCATCCTGGCCAGCGCCATCCACTGCTCCATGACCTCGGCGTCGACCTCGGCCTCGGGCTCCTCGGGCGGCTCGAACAGAGCCTCCTCCACAGCCATCTCGGCGGCCGCTTCGGCCACGGCGCCCTCCATGGCCTCCACGGGGACGAGTCCCGCGGGGACGCGCGCCTCGAAGGCCGCCTTCCAGGTGTCGAACGCACCCTTGGCATCCTCCTCCGTGCGCCAGGCGGTGTGCAGCAGCACCTGGATTCGGTAGAAGTCCTCGTCCTTCTCCTCGTTGCCTGTGAGTTTGAGGCGGGGGAATGCCCGCACCACGGCGTCGTGGGGCCGCCCATTTCTCATGTTGCGGCTCCATCTCTTGTTTCGCCAAGAGTAAGCTTTGGCTACCTGGAACAGAGTCAAGTCATTCATGGCAACCAACCTACGGTTTTGGTAGGCTTTCACAAAGGCAGGGAATGTTGAAACATCCTCTCCCCCAGCGATTGCCTCGTCAGCGCCCTCCTCGCCCTCCGCGGCGCCCTGCCGCTCGGCGTCACCCTGGGCGTCAGCGTGGCCGACCGGGTCATCGACGTCCTCGCCGTCCCCGTCGCCTCCGTGACCGTCTGGGCGGAGCTCAACCCACTCGTCCTTCCGCAGGTTCACCACATTGAACGAGCGCGAAGACATGTGTAGCGGCTGGCCGGTGAGGATGTGGCACACCTCCTGCGCCGAGTAGTCTCGCTCTGAAACCGTCTTAATCAGCAGCTTCTGAATGACGGAGCGGGCTGAGTCCTCGTCGCCGGCATCGTCCAGGATAGATCCCACGAGCTCCCGGCAGGTCACAGACTGTTTCTCACCTTTTGCCGTGTATTTGGCAATGTACCTGAGCATAAACTTCATAGAAAGTACAGGGCTAGCATCCATGTTGGCTCGCCACAACTGAATCACCCACTGCATGTACTTGTTTAAAAGACTGTCATTTCGAGCGGTAATTAGTTCCCATAGGCCTTTCTCATTTTCAAAAAGCCTAGTGATAGGCTCTTCCTGGAAAGGAAACTTAAACCTGCAAACCGGTTGGCCAGTAGTCCTATCGACCCTTATGCAGTAATGATTTGAACACCTGTGATGTTGCACTCTGTTCAACAGCTCGCCCAGGTCGCGAACAGGGTCAGTAACTTCGCTAAACTTTTTCCTACACGGATGAATGTCGGCAGGAGGCAAGTCCTTACCTGGGTTCATCGTCGACACCAAGGAGTCAAAGTACCTTATAACGGCGTCGAGGTGCTCCTGAGAGGCATCCTTCAGGTTGCTCACATCAGGGGCACCGTCTAGGTACACGATCCCGTGGACGTGTGGCGAACCCCTGTGCTGGTACTCAAAGCGAAACCAGTAGTCCTTTACATTGTACTTAACCTTAAATACCTTTGTAATGAAAAACTTTGTCCTCTCGGCAAAGAAAGTGTCAGCAATGTGAGGATTCTCGCACAGTAGTTGCTGGCGCCGAGTCTCCGTCATGGTCTCGAAGTCCTCACCGGGCGACACGAGCCGGAAGAAGTCCGACCAGTGCAGATCAGCAGCGCTAAGGGTCATAAACAGTGTGGGTATTCCTAGCTGATTGACCATGTCAAGTAACTCACCACAACGGGACTGCCAGTACTGCCTGGTGCCCTTGAGCTTGTTGCCGTGGTACAGCGCCTGCTTGAGGATGTTCCTCTCGCCCGCCCGGATGCGCCGCCTGAGGTCAGCGGCCGTCATGTCGTTGAACCGGGGGTTGTTCCTGATGAACACCCGTCCGTTTGTCAGAGCGTTCCACCGCATCATGGAGTTGAGGGCGAAAAACCTGAAAGTGGGATGGCATGAGAATCGTCTATCAGAGTACTCCATTAGAAACTTAAAGTAATCGGCCGTGTGGATTTTAGTGGTGCGGCCACTCCTTAAGTCTCCCTCGCCCGTGGGGAAGAGACAGGGGAAGGCCATCGTCAGGTAGCCATCCGTGGTGAACTCATTGACAGGCTGAGGTCCGATCGTTGGCCAGTCCGTCACATGGGACTCGACCTGGTCCTCGTTGTGCTCGGGCCGGATCATGGGCATGCACGTCACGTGGATGCCGACGGCCTCGGTGTCCTCCTGGTGCGGCCCGGCCTCCGGGCCGCCCTCAGGCGCAGGTCGTGCTGCGGGTGCTGCGGGCCCTCCAGGTGGTGCAGGTTCGGCAGCCGCGGCAGCAGCGCCACCGGGTGCAGCAGCAGCTGGAGCAGCAGCTGGGGGTGGGGGCGGGCGCGCGCGCTCGTCTATCCCCTGGACCTGTGAATAAGCATCACCATTAGCAGGCAATTGCGACAAATTTTCCTCTGAGATTTCTACATCACGGTAGTAGCGGTGGTGCTCCTTCAGCCAGACCAGCGCAGCGCGGACTCGGCCCGCTCGTACGTTGAAGTCGACGTGCCCCTCGGCGCCCTGGACGCCCTGGGTTCGCACCGCGATGATGGAGTTCAGGTCGGCCAGGCGGTGCGGCAGCGCCGTGGCCAGCTCCTGGACATCCTGAGGGAA